ACAAGTTCTCATATGTCCTGAGTCTTAATTGACCTTGGAAGGCTAGGGCCAAAAAGTTGGCTTTCCTTGCAGCCCTCCTTTTCATCTAATTTTGGTCTGCAAACTTAGGTTGTTAACCCTCCAGAAGAGAAGCTTATTGCTATTACCATACAACCTAGGCTGTTAAGCTTAACCTCACTATCTGGCTGAATATCAAACATCGCCCTGTACATTTTGAAAAGAAGCACCACACTTCCCTTTCCTGTAGCAGCATCACGGTGACCCAGCTACAGTTCCAGATGACTCCCAGCTGTATTCGCCTGCACTCTTTTATTTCCCAAAGCACCAATGGCAGGACCTCGGTGATGTGATGTGGCTGTGGATGTGGACTGCCCTCTAAGGCCCGGGTGTTAAAGGGCTGATCCCAGCTTCGAGCTAGTGAGTGGTGCTAGATCGTTGAATAGGAGGGGGCTGTGGACATCCTCAGGGCCTTAGAGTTTTATTCTTTTTTTTTTTTCTTCTTTAGTCAAGGGAGGGAAACTTTATTCAGGTTCCAAGGCTGCGGGCATTGGGCAGGTGGTGACCTTCTGGACAAGGGGCTGGCTGAGCTTTACTTGACCTTCATCTTGGGGTGCAGGTGGTTGGTGTGACCACACTTCTTGCGGCAGGTGACAGCACAGGGGTGCAGGTGGGCATAGCACTTGCGGCAGATCATCTTGTTACAGTTGTACTTCTGGGCAAGCTGGCACAGGGACAGCTCCATAATCCCACCTTGCAGTTGAAGCAACAGGTGCAAGGTGGACTCTTTTTGGATGTTGTAGTCAGAGAGAGTCTGACAGTCCTCCAGTTGTTTGCTGGCAAATATCAGATGCTGCTGGTCAAGTGGGATGTGCTCCTTGTCTTGGATCTTGGCTTTGATATTCTTGATGGTGTCACTGGGCTGGACCTCGAGGGTGATGGTCTTGCCTGTTAGGGTCTTCACAAAGATCTGCATCTCTGCATCTGCCACTTGGCTGCTTGGTTCAGAGCTGTATTCTTGCGTGGGTCTTGAGACTCTGTTCTTCCACTGTCTTCCTTTTGTTTCCTGGACATGATGAGCAGCTCTGGTTCCTCACAAGATCCCCCTGTGAGGTGTGGCCTCGCCAGAGGCTCAGAGCCCTGGGACCAATGGATCATGGATGGGAGTCTTTAAAACGATAAGATAGAAAAATAAGTTTTTCTTTTATCCCCCCCCACCTGCCCCTTCTTGGTACTGGAACTAGAACTCAGGGCATCCCATCGAGCTATATTCTCCAGTCTTTCCATCAGTTTTTTTTTCTTTTTTTAATTAATTTTATTGAGAAACAAATAGCAAGGAGACAGTCAAAAACGATTACAAGCACAGTTTCGATAACTAATACATTGCATATTGTTTTCTTACTGGTTATTCATAGTACAAGATGCAGACATGATATCCTGTCCACAGACACTATTAGAACAAATCTCTCTATTCAGTGAATTAAGGGAATGCAGCTGTATATCTATCCTAACTATTTAGAATATACAGATACAAAATGCTTGTTCATTATATCCCTCTTTTTTGTTTTTTTTTCCAAAGTTTTATTGATAAACAGCAATGAGACAGTTTCAAATCAAATCGGAAGTACAGTTTCAACAAATAATACACTGCATATATTCTTCTTAGTGGTTAATTGCTGTACAAGATGTGGACTTGTGATCCTATTTACAAACACCATTAGAACAAATCATTCTATTCAATAAGAGAATGCAACTATATATCTATCCCAACCTCTTTGAATACTCCATCAGTTTTTAACGTGAAACAGTCTTTCTAAGTTGCCCAGGAGCCCAGAATGGGCTGCAACTTGCAATTCTGCTACCTCAGCTTCCCAGAGTGCTAGCATTGCAATCATGCTCTGCTATCCCAGGCAATAATGTGTGTGTGTGTGTGTGTGTGTGTGTGTGTGTGTGTGCGCATGGGTGGTGTGTATTTGTTTCTGATGCAATCAGGTTATTAGTTGCTTTTGCTTAAAATGTAAGTGACTTCACATTTGCCTACAGATGCCTGACAAATATAGAAAGGAGGATGAAGTTTGGTATCTCTGCTTTTACTTTTTGTCCGTCTCCTTGTTACCTTCAAAGTTGGGGACAGATCTTCACGCAGCTCAGCTTGTGAGGGGAGTTAATCATGAGCACACTGCCCTTCAAAAACTGCGAGTACAAGGTTTCTTCACCCTAAATTTACCCAGCCTCCTTCCCTCCCTGTCAAAGCAGAGGACATTGAGAGAAGTTTGCAGAGAATTTCAGATACCAGAATTTACCCCATGGAAGGGGCACTCCTAGAAGTTTCCAGCCACTGCTCTAGATCTGTAAGCACCTTGGATTCTAGCAGAGCCTCCCCAAAACTGAGACTGGCCCCCCAAGGCAGGAACATGGGAGCCAAATTACCAGGAGCCTTCAAGCCATGGACATTTCTCTAGAACTACAGAACCAGGGCCAGAGAGTGTTCAACCAGACCCTAGCCCACCTCAGCATACCTTAAAAGTTGAAACTCTATGAGCCAGTCATGGAGGCATAGTTCTGTCAACCCAACACTGTGGGAGACTGAGGCAGGAGTGTAGTGATGTGAGCTTGAGTAACACAGGAAAGCTCTGTCTCAAAAAAAAAAACAAATTTAGCTTGGAGTGTAGCTTAGGGATGAGCATTTGCTAGCACCTACAAGCGTATAGTTTCAATCCCTAGCATTGAAAAAACAAAGCAAAGCAAAAGTTGCTTAAAAAATGTTTTTGAAGAGGTAGTTGTGAGGCAGGAGATCAGGCCCTGGCCAGCCAGCCAGGCGAGTGGGCACAGCTGGTCAACCACGGAGACCCAGGAGTCATGTGGCCAAGCCCTGCTCCTGCTACCAATCGGAGAATTGGATTTTTAATTCCGGTTCAAAATCAAGCAGATTTTTGATAGGATGGCCTGGATATGAGCTCAGAAAGAAAGATAAAAAAAAAAAAAAAAAAAACCAGCCCATAACCCCGTGGCCACTGTGACATCTTAGTGGCCAGCTCTCACTCTACAGAATGCACTTCTTTTCCTGCCTTTAATAAACGTAAAGCCTCACCTCCCTTTTGTGCTTGTCTTGTCCAATTCTTCATTCAGGACAGTAAGAACCTGGCAAGAATCTCTAGAACCCACAGAACCACAGGGCCCGGTAACAGCTGGGGGTGGATGTTGATTTGCAGGCCTGAGATTCAGTCTCACTACAAGCACACAAACATGTTTAAGCTTTATGAAGGGGCAGAGTGGTTTTCCTTGACTGATTTCTCTCCTTACGCTTCTGCAGTTGCAGCAGTCCCCCTCCCATCCTTACTGTTAAGTCCCCTTGTTAAAGGGTGAGCTTGATTTTGGCCAAGACTTTTCCTTTCCACGTTTCTTTTCTCTCAACTGAAAGTGCCTTTCCGTTTTTTCTTACTTATGAGCTAAACCCTTTGCACATTTGTGCTGCTGCTGGTGACCCCTCAGTGCCAGGGCCCTGCCCTGGGAAAGGGCAGCATAGGCTCAGTCTCAGGGAGGCTGCTCCCTGCTCTCTTTGCCTGGGTCCGTGGGGCTTCCCCTTGTGGGTCACACAAAAAGCGGAGGTGTCAACACAGCAGCAGACTCCTCCAGCTAGCTATCCTCCATGGCCCTAGCCCAAGGCCATGGGGCAGCATGGGGCTTTCTCTCTTGCTGTTAATCTTATACCAGAAGGGCCTGTTCTTGTTATTATGCATATGCACCCTCTTGGGCTACAGCCCTTCTACTCAGGGGACAGGCCCAGACATGTCCAAGCTTTCTTTAGCTTCAGGAGCTGCTGCATAGAAGTGTGTGGTGTGAGGGATTGAATCTCCAGGCACTGCACCACCCCCCTCCAGCAGAACTTGCTCTTGATACTCCAGAGCCTTGGCCCCTCTGTTCACACTGTAGACTGTTAGATTTTTCAGCTCAGTAAAGAGACAGGAAAGAAAAAGGAAGCCTTTATTGAGGGAATGGAGAAGTCCACAGGAAAGGAGAGATGTGGAGCTTCCCAGGGCCTGGCCAGGGAAACAAATGTGGAGGTGGGGCTCGGTGCAGTCTGTGTGACATGGCAGATAGTGATTGGGCAGGAGGTGAGAACAAGAAAACAGGGTATCATGAAAAGGAAGCAGGAAGTTGTAACTGGACCGGGGATTATGGGTTCTCTCTTCCTTAATAAAAATTCTGCCAAGTGATCATGGAGGCCAGCCAGTGTGGCAGAGGCCATTGAGGGCCATGAGCTGTGCTCTGCCTTCCTCCTCCCTGAAATTAGGAGGTCTGCTCAGGCCCTGCCTACGCCCAGCAGTCCCACCAGGCTATGTCTGAGGAAGAGCAGTTTCTCACCATCCTCTTATCTCCAGTACACAAAGGGAGTGGGAATTTCTTCAAGTCAGCGCTGCCAGCGCATAGCAGAAGGCCAGAAGCCTCCAAGAAGGTATGAATCACACTCTCCCTAGAGAGCCCAGTGTCCATTCTTCCATCAGAATTTAGGGGAAAGTATGCTGTGGGCTGCTAAGGATTCACTGGGAACACAGTGTGACAAATCCACGTCATTAGCCTGTGCCCCTGTCCTCCCCCGACCTAGGAGGCTGAGGACCCAGGACCCCAAAGTTCAGCCCAGCCTGGGTGACTCAGTGGCTTAAAGTGAGCCTGTCTCCACATGAAAATAAAAAGGGCATGGGGTGTAGTTCAGTGTAAAGTCCAACCCTTGATTCCTACACACACACACTGTCTCAATTATGTTTCTTTCATTGCTGAGACAAAATACAAGACACCCAAAGCTATAGAAGGAAAAGTTTACTTAGCTCATCTTTTATAGATGTTTCAGTCCATTATTGGCTGGCCCCAAGGCCAAGTGGCACAAGGTAGAGGAGCAGCTTAGTAGTTTGTGGTGGACTGATGTCAATGAAAGCAACTAGACAATGTGAGACAAGCCTCTTTCTGCCCCTTATATTGTATCTAATCTATTGGGACTAGGACAGTGCCAATCCAATCAGTGGACTGATCCAGCATAACCCACCTTTAACCCCAGAACCCTTAATCCCAGCACTGCACTACAAATTAATCATTCATTCTAGCATAGCATTTTAAAAAATATATTTGGCATAGGGCCTACAGGGCCTCATTACACAGATCTGATTTGTAGTGATCCTCCTGTTTTCAGCCTCCCAAGCACTGGGATTACAGGTGCACACCAAACCACACCCAGTCTCAGTCACTGTCTCAGCCCATCTCCCAGGGATGGGGCCAGCACGGCATGCCAGGGATGGAATCCGGGTCGTTGCACCTGGCTAAGCAGGTGCTTTAGTCTGCTGAGCTACCTGGAAGGCCTTCAATCACTCACTCTAGATTCAGTCACTTCCAAAGAAAAAGTCCTATGACCTCATGACACTTTGGGGGGACATTGGGACAACATAACATTCCACCCCTCACCCCCCAAGGACACATGGACTTACCTTTATGCAAATGCAATTTACTCCATCTCCACAAGTTATCAAAATCCTAAGTTTCAGCAGTGCTGAAAGGCAGTCTCCTCTGATAGTTAAACTCTTAGCTGTGAGGCCCTGTACAAATGAAAAGAAAGTTAAACACTTTCAACAGTCAATGGTACAAGGTGGAAATTTCCATTCCAAAAGTTAGAAACAGGGGAATATAAAGGATTACTTCATTTTTTTTTTTTTCTGGAACTGGGGTTTGAACTCAGGCCCTTGTGCTTGCCAGGGAAGTGCTTATTCTACTGAGCCATCTCCCTGGCCCCTGGGGAATATAAAGGAATGGGACAAAAGCGAGTGCAAAATCCAGTAGAGCAAACATCAAGTCTTACAGCTCCGTGTGTGGCACTCAGAGCAATCTGTGGCAAGTTGTAAAGTTCAAGGGGCTCTGTGGTGGATAGCCGGGGGGTGGTCAACTTGTGACACCCAGCTGAACTGAATTAGCATGGTGCTGGATGTGGGAGGC